CTATGGTATTCTTCCCACTAGCCACATGATCCCCCGGATTTTTAGGCACCAATGTCCATATTAAAAAAAACTGGAATTTCGTAAACTCGCGGCCGCGACTTGCAATCTCGCGGCCGCGACATGGAGCTTCGCGGCCGCGACGTGGCTCGCGGCCGCGAGATTTTAGGCCAGAAGTGAGATAGCAAGTGTTGTCCTTTGTTCGCCGCGGCCGCGGCGAAGGAAATCCCGCGGCCGCGACCCGACCTTCCGCGGCCGCGACCCGACCTTCCGCGGCCGCGACATGATGCTCCGCGGCCGCGACCTCGTGCTGCAGTCCAGATTTTTCTCCCTTGCGTTTTTGGTCCCGTTTTTCACTTCCTTGTCCCGATTTCAGCCTCCTCGCACGAACGCTAACTCCTTCCACCGAGAAGTCAAGTAACCCATCGAACCTACGCACCACAATACACAAGAAAAACACAAAGAAAGAGAAAAACAAACGGGAAAACAAACCAAACAACGAACAAACCAAAAACTAACGAAACGGACTCGACAATAAATAAAACGTACCTAAAAGATGGGGGAATAAACATAAAATAACCATGAAAAACACAACAAAAATGGAACGAACAACTCCCCCACACTAAGACCTTTGTTCGTCCCGAACAAAGAGAAACGAAAAGAAAGAAAACAAGAACATCCAACATGTACCAAGGTTCAAACAACACAAGCATCAAATTGATCAATCAAGTCGAGTACAATTCCGATGATCTCGAGAACATCTCTCAAATGATGACTCGGCATTTTGACTGAAAAACACTCAAAAATGGATATATGATCAATGAGCCTCACTCAAGTATCTTGCAATTAATAAAGGAGAAGGTGCACTCAAATTGGTCGCAATCCAATCAATCATATGCTTGCCTATCGTCTAATTTTTACTCTAGAACAATTTAATCGCGAATAAGTGAATCAAGAGGACTTAAGGGATATAATGAAAGCTCTTTGGATCAGGTGAGGATCGTATAGGCCAAGTGACTACACATATATATATATCAACTCAAAACATCACCAAACCGAAAACATTAACTCCACCGGTTGTCCTCCAAGACTATCATTTATCCACATTATTCACACTTTTTTTTTTTTTTGAAAACCTTTGGACAATTATTATCTAGGTTTAACCATCATCCCTCCATCAATCCGATTCACAACTCCACAATATCATCAATACGGGGTTGTCAAGAAAATCGTATAAAGGCTCAAAGGGGCGACTAGTGAGTGTTATTCAAGAGAAACAAATGGGGATAGAAAAACAATGAATGCCTCTGTCATATTTACCATTCGCAACCAAATTGAACTATTTCGAATCAACCTCAAGGCAAGTTCTAACATCATGAGATCTTGACCAATATCACACAAATGGGCTCAAATCTCACGGGTATATATATTCAATTATCAGTCAACATAACCAAGCAATCACCAAGATAAGTTACACAAGATCATCATCACAACTTCTCATACTTAATCAAACAAACATCAACAAGCCTTGCAATCCCCAAGGTACATGCACGAAACACACAAAGACTCAACTAGACTAAACACATCACATAAACCAAACAAGCAAAGCTCCCCCACACTAAAAACCGGACAATGTCCTCATTGTCAAATTCGTAGAATGAGAGAGTGACAAGCAAGTAATAAAAGATAAGAGAAATGAATAACTGACTCACAATAATACAAAAGGCAAAAGAAAAACAACTGACTCAATGTCCACGAAAAAGCAAAATAAAAGAGAGAAAGGGAAAAGGAAAAACGTACAACGCATAGTGACAAGTCACTATGCATGTGGTGGTGGCTGAGGTGGGAGGTCATAGCTGCCCGGCCCCTGATGTGGGTCCCACTGGGTGAACATCCGATCCCAGCTGTCCATGAAAATGACCATGAAAAACACAACAAAAATGGAACGAACATGCTGCGTGATACTTGTGGTGATGACCCTTTTTTTGGCCCTATTGTACGACGACTGGAGGGCGGGCCTGTGGGCGATTATGCCCTTCATGACGGCTTTTTGTTCCGGGGTGTTCGTCTATGTGTCCCGGCCTGCAGCTTGCGACATAAGTTGATCGCCGATTTGCATGGCGCCGGTCACATGGGCTGCGACCGCACGATCGAGCTGCTGCGCCGGTCATACTTTTGGCCCTCCCTCCGGCGCGACGTCGCCCGTTTCGTGTCTCGGTGTCGGATTTTCCAGGTGTCCAAAGGCTCCGCGACTAATGCCGGTTTATACAGGCCTCTGCCAATTCCTTCTCTTCCGTGGCAAGCAGTGAGTATGGACTTTGTCTTGGGTTTGCCTCGTACTCAGCGGGGTTTTGATTCGATTTTTGTCGTGGTGGATCGTTTTTCGAAGATGGTGCATTTCATTCCATGCAAGAGGACTACCGACGCTGTCCATGTGGCTTTGTCATTTTTTCGCGAGGTTTATCGTTTGCATGGGCTTCCTTTGTCGATTGTGTCGGACCGGGACACTCGATTTCTGAGTCACTTTTGGCGTAGCCTCTGGCGCATGGCGAATACTCGTCTGGACTTTAACAGTGCTTATCACCCGCAGACCGACGGGCAAACTGAGGTTGTGAATCGCTCGTTGGGCAACTTGCTACGTTGTTTGGTTGGCGATAACCTCCGCAGCTGGGATAAAAAACTGAGTCAGGCCGAATTCGCACATAATTCGGCCGTGAGTAGGGCGACGGGCTATTCCCCGTTCTTTACGGTTTACGGGATTCAGCCGCGGGGTCCGGCCGATTTGGCGCAGGTCCCGACCACGACGCCGACGGATAAACGTGCTGTGGATTGTATTGGCGATTTGCGTGCTGTTCATGCGGCGGCCCGAGCTCGTTTGGAGGAGGCCACGGCCGCGTATAAACGGCAGGCCGACGTGCGGCGACGCCATGTTGAGTTCTCGGTTGACGACTTCGTTTGGGCGGTCTTGACGAAAGACAAATTTTCGACCCATGATGAGTACAACAAGCTGTCGGCTCGGAAAATTGGCCCACTTGAGATTATTGCGAAGATCAACCCGAATGCGTACCGTCTCCGTCTTCCTTCTCATATTCGCACCTCTGACGTTTTTAACGTCAAGCACTTGGTTCCTTTCACTGGTGATAATTCTGGAGACGAGGCCGATTCGGATTCGAGGCCGAATCCCTCCCAACCGGGGGAGGATGATGGAGACGAGGCCGCGATGGCATTCTTGGATAAATTCGACAGGCTTCGTATTTAGTTGCATTACGTCCTATTTTATATTCATCCTTTATTTAGGTTCTTTAAGTATTTAAGTTGTTTTGGTAATTAAATAAATAATTTAGCTTAGAGCAGGTTTAGGAAAGTTGGAATCTTTATATATATTGTGTTCTACGCTTGTGGAGGGTAGATTATCATTAATTTTATCAGATTACGAGTTTCATCTTTTATTTCCCTTTCTTCTACTTCGCTTCTGCATCACATTTGAAACAAAAGATTTTCAAGCTTCATGTCTATTTATTGTAAAATAATATCTTATTTTGCAATATGCTGGAAATCATTTGAATGCTTCATAGAATTCGGTGTGAATAATATAATTGATTCGATCAGCATAGTTGAGAATACGAAATTTCTAAAGTCACAAGGATGATGATTAATTGATTATACTAATTTGAAGCAAATAAAAAAGAAGTTTTGAGATGATTTCTTTTTCTTTTCTTTTATATATTAAAACTCTCGCTTAACTGATAACTCGTATGACCTCGACACTTTGGCATGTCATTTTGATATATTCTAAGTGTATTATGATGCTTGTTCAAAACATCCAGAAGTAAATCGACTTTAAGAATTTCAGGCGATGAAGCAATAGGACTGCTGACTATCTTATACATTAGATTGAAATGTTAGAGTAATTGATTTTGTGAATATTGTATTTTTGGGATAGATAGATTTCAGTATCTTAGATATTTGTTGAATATTAGTTTTAGGGCTTCCTTTGTATCTTTATATATTCGGCTTTTGTGAATCTCAGAGAGCAAGGTTTTGGAAAACGAATTGGTGTTCACATATTTGTCATGGTATCAGAGACCGGTTAAATTTTTTTTTCGGATCTCAAGTCTCGATCAACTGAGACATTTCTTTTCTCTCTAATTTTCGGCCCTCCCCGAATCTCACCGCCCCCTCCATCCTGTCCGGCATCGTCCGTCGAGTCTTCGTCGGAAGTTTCAGGCCAATCGTCGGCGCGTGTGGTCTCCACGCGCCTGATCTTCGTCGCTGCACTGCTTTCTTCTTTCGGCGCGTGTGGTCCACCTCCGCCGCCACCGCCTTTCAGCCGCCGACTCCTGTCGACGTTAGCTACCTTGTGGTGTGATCAGATTTGTTTTTTCGTGAACTTTTTATTTTCTACCCGTACTACTACTATCTTGTCTGATTTCTGATCTGGTTCGTAATTTTCTCTCGACTGCTTCGTGATTTTGTTGGTGATTATCTGATTTCTGAGACCTCATGGCTCCTTCTTCCTCGGCTAGTCAGTGTTCTCATTGCGGGAAGTCGAGTCATCTTGCGACATCTTGTTTTGGTGTCGACCACGGTAGTCCAGCCTTTGCCAATGTCGCCTTAGCGAACGGTGTTGCACTTAGTACATTTGGTTCTATTTAGGGCAGGCCACCATCCTCATTGACGGACTCCAATCGGGCGGCTATTTCTGGGTTGACTGATGCCCAATGGGAGTCTATTGTCCACCGCGTCTCTTCCGCCCGCAACAATGCTCCTTTGTCCAGTAAGCATAGTCCTTATGAGTGGATGTATGATAGTGGTGTATTATCAGAGACAAAACCGAAAGAGAAAAAGTGAGGTCTGTACAGTACTAAGCCCTATTTATATGAGAGACACAATTAACCCTAATGAGATAAAAGTGTTACTCCTAAATACATAAGGCTATATTATTTTACATAAAATGCTATTCCTATACATAAAATGCTATAACAAATATATAATCTATTACCTGCCCTAGCCCCCAACCTCTTGAACTCCAGGAAAAACGAAGATCCAACTCCCTCACCAAGATTCCAAAGAAACCCCTAGAACACCAAAGCTCACAAATCGAGTGCATGAAGAAGAAATTGCTCCCAAGATAAGAGACTGCGAAGCGCTGTATACATATTAAATTCCAAGTCACCAATACCCAAAGGTGTGCCTTTTTGCTAACGTTCCACTATTTGTTGACTTCGTGTGATTATTTGAAATTTGTTAATTAAGTTATGGGTGTATTCAAAAGTACAGTCAAAATGATAAATGTCAAAGATCGTACCAAATTTTGATCTCATTTTCATAATTTCCCACGAAAAAGATCCTAGCCCACCCTAAATCAATTATCATCATTCCATCCCATCGCATATGCCAAAATTTATTTTTATAAATAGTTTTTACAACTATTATTTTCCGGTTGATGTAAGTAGCTACCCAACACATTTATTCAAAATATAACAGTAAAATTCAACTTTCCAAGTCCTTGACCGACAAAGTTTTACTAGACCGAAATAAAATAAAAAAAGGTAGAATAGTCTCACAATTCACAAAACTCTACAGACTACAGCACTCCCCTGTAGATTTTATACTTAAAAAACCCCCGACAGGGCCACATGTAAGTCAGTCTATGCAGATCCATTCCACCATGTCCATGAGCAAAAACCAAAGAAAAAAGAAAAGTAGCATGGTTCAGTTCACCATACCCGAATTCCCCATTCTACCCTTATCCACCCCCAACATTTAAATTACATAACGGTACACGCATTGGGATTCTCATCACTAAACATCTGTGGTGGGTATTGTGGTGTGTATGATGAATAGTATTCCGGCACAAACCTCTGCGGGTAAAACTGGTGATTTTGCTGTTGTGGGTAGTAATAGTGAAACTCATTCTTCCTTAGTTCAAGCTTCGAGTCCTCAGCTTCCACCGGAGACAGCTGTTCGCCTCCATCTTCTCCGGCCTCCTTCTTGGCCTCCTTTCCCTTTTTGCCCTCTTCCGACTTTTTGTCCTCTTTCCCTTCCTTGGCCTTCTCATCTTCTTTTTTCTCCGGTTCGACTTTTACGATTGTTGCATGTTTTCCCGTCCGCTTGTAGACATGTTCGATGAGCTTCTCGGGTTCAATTGTACCCTTCACTTTGACTTGCGAGCTCTTGAGTTCGGGCTCCGCACTTTCGACTCCTGTGTAGAGATCGTTTGTTTGATTGAATTAAATTGGTTATGTCATCCAAATTATACGCATAAAAATTTTGAAAGTAATGAGTGTACAATAATCCATATTGGCAATTGAGTGATTGACCTAAGGTTGAAGGAAATCAAAGAGAATATTGAAAATTTGGATATATATATATATATATATAATAGTACCTTAATACTTTAATTTAAAAGAATGTATACGCATGGATTATAAAAAAGGATAACANAAAGAAATGAAAGAAAAAAAAAAAAAGACAGTAAGCATCCTGCAAATACAGCTGAAAAGCGTGGCCAAAAGCGTAAAAAGGGAAGTTGAATTTTGTATATGAAAGTAAAGCAAGCCTAGAAAATACCGATTTCTATTTGAAAACAAAATGAGAAAGAAAAGGGAAAGTGAGAATCATGCTCACCTTTCATTTTGAGAATGCGCTTTTTGATTTCTTGAGCACAAGCTTCACAGTGCATGTACACTCCCAACACCACTGTAACCACTGCAGGCTGAACCAACAAAAGCACACACAATACCAAATTCCATGATTTAACCAACCATAATATAATTACAAGATTAATTTCACAGCAAGAATCAATCAAACCCAGTTTCAGTCCTTAATAAAATCAAATTTCTATTTTCTAATCCAAAACCAGCAAGAACAAACATACGAACCAATTATTAATTATGAATCTAATAAATAAGAAAAAATAATTAAAGAAAAACAGAGAAGAAAAGGCGAAAAAACCTCCGGTTTTTTATCTTCAACTTTGGGCACATCTTTAACTTCAAGTTTCTTAGGCTCCTCAGCCGGAGGCTTAGGGATTGGAGAGATAAGCTCAACTTGGCGGTGGCTTTTCCTCTGAACCCTATCCAAAACCTTCAGCGGATCTGCTTTTTCGCCTCTCACAACCACTTTGCTCGCCTTGCAATCTGTTGTTACATCCTCAACACCTGCAACGATCCAATTTTTATTTTTAAAGAGATTGGGTCCCAAGCGAAATATATTTTAGAGAGAGAGAGACGGGCCCAGAAAAGGAAAATTAAAAAAAAAAATGAAGATCCGACTTAAGTGATTAATTACCTTCAAATCCCTTGAGACACCGGCGGACTTTCCTAGCGCAGCCCTCGCAATGCATGTACACCTTGAGGACAATCTCCGGCGGCAAGGGAGGCACCGCCGCAGCCTTCTCCTCTGACTTGGGCTCCTCGGATTTCTTCTCCTCCTTTTTTCCGCCTTCTGCCGGCGGCTTGTCGGCCTTCGGGGTCTCCTCCGACTTCTCCTCCCTCTTGGGATGCTCCGGTTTCTTCTCTTCCTGATTAACAAAAGAATAAATTAATGTAAAATTTGCAAAAAAGAATGAGCAAAAAATTGAAAATTAATTAATTAATTATAAGGAAAAAGAAAATTGAAAATGGTGGGCAGAAGGAAATTAATTGAGACCTCTCCCATTGTTTTCCCGGTGGATGTAGAGATTATTATTAGTATTATTTATCAGCTTTTAAAACGAAGATAGAGCTTGGTTGAATCTGTGTGCGAGTATGGAAAAAAGACAGTGTGAGGGTTATAATAATAAAATAATAAGAGATAAAATGGTAGGGGTAGGGATAGATAGATCTAGAGAGGCGAGGATAGTGAATAGTATTGTCATCATTTGAAGTGACGTGGCACTTATGTACTAGGTGTCACGTGCCATCGTGTCAAATTTCGCTACAACCACATTTTATTTTATTTTTTTATAAATTCATAATACTTTTTGCCTAATTATCTCACTACTTATATAATTTACTTCTTTAAGTGTCCAAATATATGTATCAATTCCTAAAAATCTTTCATGTTATTTTTGTTTTGAAGTATTCAGTATATATTTGAAATTTTATTCATATAATTTAAGAATTTAAGTTATTATAAAATAATTTAACAAATAAGTTATAGGTAAAATTTATATTGTTATTAATTTTTTAAATATAGTGTATTAAATTATTTATATTTTTTATAATTTTACATTCATGTAAAACATCACCTTTTTATTTTATTTAATTTCGAATCTCAATTTGATATAATAAAAATAAAAACTAAAACTAATTGATATTATTTACTAATTTTAATTAAAAATAATAAAAATATCATAAATCAATTAAAATAAATTACTCATAAAACCTAATTGATATTCGATATTGATAATCAATATTAAATGCTATAAATTAAAATAACTATTTAAAACTAAGACAAGTGAGTTTCATGGGCGATCTATATCATTTACTCCCTCGGTTTCTTTTTAGATGTCGTTGTAGGATGTCAACTTTTTTGCAAATTAGTTGTCGTTGGAAATATTATATTCATTCTTACAATTTTATTCTCTTTAACAAACTTTATCTCTTATCATTATCATTAAAAACCACCCATTAATAATTCAAAAACTAAATTTAATAAGATTAAAATATAAGGTTATTACACAACACATTAAAATCGTAATTTAGAAGTTTTAAATTAAAACGACATCTAAAAAGAAACAGAAGGAATAAATAATAATGATAATAATAAAACATATAAATTATTTGATTTTATGAAATAAAATTTTATTTTTATTTTATAGATAATTTATATGACAATTTATTAATTAATACTTATGTACGTGGCCAGTAACCTGTTTCGAGTCGATTCTGATTTGCATTTTTATTGAACCGGAATCGGCCCAACAATAGATACTGAACTGTTCTCATTACCGGTCTGGCAGGTCTTGTTCGAGACAAACCTACTCCAACTGGTGGCCCCAATCATTTTTTTTTTTTTTAAGAATTGGAAAAGTGAAAAACAAAATTGTACTTGGTTTAGTTGGCATATTATAAGTGAAATATCAATTAGTTGAAATATTCTTTGTTTCAAATATTTTATTCGTTAAATGATTGACCAAAATTTTGTAACCAAATTTACATGTTTGACCGAAAAAATTTAAGGAAAGCAAGATTTTCAGGGCTCTTTCTCATTATTGGCAAGATTTACCCATAGTATTTAAGTAAATCATTGTCCATATTTTTTGAAATTAAGGTTTACAAATTATCTTTTTCAAATAATTTTTCTTTTCTTGAAATTTAAATTTGATTTTTCATTTAGCCACCATCTTCAAGAAAATAAAATAAAATAAAATAAATACTAAGAATAGTAACTTTAAAAATTTTAAGCGGAAATTTCAATACTATTTCAAGTAAATTCTCTCTCTCTATTTATAGTAATATTTTCTAAATTTTAGAATTAGTGAGAAATTAATTATTTTACTTTATGCATATTTATAATATAACAATAAAATTTGCGTATAAAATGTTCCAGTATATACACATATATGATCTTATTCAATTTTTTAGTACGACATTATTTATCGTATTTCATAATAATTAGAAAAATAAAAATAATGTATATGTATACAAGTAATCAATGATAATTAATTTATGAAATAATAAAAAAAAATCGGCCACATTTGAGAAATGTAACACATTGTTAGTTTATTTACGCTAATTAACAAAATAATCCAATCAATTGTCCTAAGGTTTTTCGGCCATTATACATTGAATTTAATTTTCTATTATAATTAAGCAACTTTTGATTGAACATTTGCCAATAAATAAATTTATTATAAAATTATGAGATTTTCCTAATTTGTGTCCTATTTTTTTATAGTTTATTTACCATACTATGCAATGAAAATCAAATTTACAATAATTTCATTATAGAAAGAAATCAAAAGAAAAAATAATAAAAATTAATTTTTTTGTCATCCTGACTATCAACACACTAATTAAGAAATATTTTTCTTTCCAAATTTAACCCTATTTATTGACACAATTGTGGATGGATGTTCTTGGGAATATGAAGGGACAATGGGTATTGATGGAGGGGTTAAAAGGGAAAAATATGAACAAAATAGTCAAAACGACATTTATTTAACAAATGATAATATTACTATTATGAAAGATAAATAAGTGGCTTAAAGAATCTATACTTATATTAAAAGGTATACCATTTACCAGATTTAGTATAAAAAAAAGTTAACAACATTTATTGCATTACTATTTCCGTATTATACAATCTATACTTATATAAAAAAAAATTCTATTTACTACATTTACTATCCAGAAAAGTCAACTACATTAAATGTCATTACTATTTTGGTATTATAATATTTTATTTATTTATTTGTTTTATTTTAAAAAGGTAAGTATAATAAAAAGATTTTAATAATAAAAAAATCAAATACCAAATAAAAATGTATATTTTGACTTATTTGATTATATTTGGTATTTGATTATACCAAATATATTCCTATTTAGTATATACATTAAATACCTACTAAAGTATTTATTTGTTTTATTTGTCAAAGTTAAGTATAGATTTGTTTATATTATCAAATCTTAAAAAAATATTAAATCATACAACCCTAAAATCCCCTCAACCCTAGTCGCCCAATTTGTGCAGAGCCGTTGCCCCCTTGACGGCGGTCCGGAGCCGTCGGTCGACGGCCTCCACCGCTCACTCAAGTCGGACTTGCGCTCGTCTCCATTCGTTGGCCCTGTTCCAGATCCGTGGGATCGACGAGGTACCCTTTCCCAAGTCGATCGAAGGTGTTTGGCGGCGGTTGCGGTGGTTCGGGTCGTAGTGGCCGCGCTTGGTTGTGGCTTGGTCCGTCGAGGTGTCCCAGGCTGAGACGTTGTCTCCTCGGTCTCACTCCTCTGGCCGTCATCTGTGGCTCTGTCCTTCTGCACCGGCGAAGCAGTGCCTGGGAAGGCGAGCTTCCGTCCTCGATGATCGGCAGCATCGTACGGTGGTAAGCTTTTCTTTTACTGCTTTGGCTCGGTTTCTTTTGCTGCGACAGATGGAGGGCTTCTCGGTGGTCGGCTGAGATCTTTAGTCCTGGGGCTGAGAATCTTGGCCTCCATCTTTTTGGGGATTGAACTGATAAGATGGCTTGGTTGGGACATTTGGACGATGCCTAGCATTGTAGGCTTTCGGCCCCTTCCTCTTCTATTTCGGCTGCCGGGCCGGGTTGGTTGAGGCTACCTAGGAATGCATTGGTAGCATTGGTGTGGAGTCGGTTCGGCTGGGGGTCGGTTGTTCCTACAATTGGGTGGAGTGCGGGCTAAACCCTTGGTTAGTGTTGGATGGCCGAGCAATCGCCTTGCTAGGCCTTATGCAGTGGTGGGCGGAGGTTTGGTTCTCTGAAGCTGGCTTCGGTTTTGGTTTGTTCGGCTGACATTTGGATTCGACTGTTATGGGGGACGTTTTAGTTTGTAGTTAGTATGTCTCGTTCGTGTGGTGTTGTGCTAGTTTTATGTATTAGGTTGTTATTTGTGTTTTGTGTTTTTGGTTTGGGCCGTTGGCCCCTGTTAACCTGGGTGTTACCTTTATTCTCCTGTGGGGAGCCAACACCTAGGCATTCTCTCTGAGGGGAGCTTTTAGTTTTGTGTTTGTGCTTTAGTTGTGTTTTTCTCCCGTGGGGAGCCAGTTTCTAGTTGTTCGGTGTTTGAGTTAGGTTTTCTTCTGGCGTTGCTAGCGATTCTAGGCGGACTTCAGTCTAGCCTCCCAGTTTGTAATTCCGCACTTTTGTGCGCCTTTTATATAATTCTTCAATCGTTTCGGGAAAAAAAAAATATTAAATCTATATTGCAAAAAAAAAGTCATATAATTTTATAACAATTCTACTACACTATTTAACAATATTTTTTTTTGTTATATAATAAAATAATAATTAAATATTATATGATGAACAACAATAAGTAAAACTGTTACTTTCTCTTACATCAAGGGATAAATTTATATGCTAAAATTAAATTTTTATTAGTATAAATATTTTAGTGAGATAATATGTTAATTATTTTACAAGCTAGCCCTAACATGCTCATATTTAATGTTTTAAAAGATGTAGAAAAAAACTTATATTTACTCTATTGTTTTTTAGACTTAAACGTTGATTAAAAGAGGTAAAATTCCTAATTTGTTAGACTTAAACGTTGATTAACACCATAGATTGAAAGTTTATATTTAGTAAAATTTTTAATTGTAATAAAAAAATTAATTTTTGCTATATTTTAGAATATCTTTAAATTCATTATAAAAAAAAAGAAACAAAACTACAATGAAAAAAGCAAGTCAGCTATATATCGATTTGCTGTACTCCTCAAATCACATTCACAATTTTGGCTACAAGGAAAGGAAACTCATTGATTAAAATATTATTTGTCAGTAGTCTTAATGTACAAGAGACTTTAAGACTCCACGTGAATATTATAAAACTTTTATCGAACATTGTACAATTTTCTAGCGTATTATAAACTTTTATTGAATATTGCATCTTATAATATAATATTCTCCAAATAAATATGTCTCGTGCTTCGCATGGGCCACGTACTATATATATCCCGTATATTTTTCTTTATTCGTGTATATAATTATAAGTCTGGATAAATAGCCTTAAAATTGTGCACCCCGTGCATCGCACGGGCTCTGTACTAGTTATGATAATTTGTTGACAAAATATATCAATTACATGTAGATATCACATTTGGAAAATATCAACGATTAATGCAATATTACATTACCATACAATCATATTTAATTAGTAGACAGATTACCATACATTTTAAGGTTACTTACCAAAAACATAAATTAAAAATAAATGATTTGACAGAAAAATAAATTTTGGAAAAGTGAATTTTATTAATGATTACAACTCTTAATTTTGGAAGGTTCAACTATAATTGTCACACCGATTATTGGCAAAATCATTTTTTACTTGAAAATTAATTCTCACAATTTCTATATTTAGCAAGTAATGGAGTATTTTTTTAGCATAAAAATCATTATATATTTAATAATACTACAAACATTTTTATATAGATATAAATAAGTGTGCAGCTCAATTGTTATATTTTAAAAGTGAGAAATTGCTAAAATGAAGCAAATTTTAATGGGTAAAGTCCACTTTTGGTCCTCCATGTTTAGGGGGTATCCAGACTGAGTCCCTATTATGTTTTGGTGCCCAATTTTAGTCCTTAAAACAAAAAAATGAGTCCCTATTATGTTTTGGTGCCCAATTTTAGTCCTTAAAACAAAAAAATGAGTCCCTATTATGTTTTGGTGCCCAATTTTAGTCCATAAAACAAAAAAATGTAGTCCCTTTACCTCAATTTCTGTGAATTAACGGTCCATTTTTGCTCGACTGTGATGTTCTTTATTTTTGTTAAAATTTGTTGATTAATGTCAACTTTGACCAAAGAAGAATAAAAGAAAATTTAAATGCTGAAAATATATTAATAAAAAATTAAACTAAAACAAGAAATTTCACTAAATAAAATTAAAATTTTTGCTCGTCTTATTTCTATTTCCCTAGCAGCAAGCCTGGAATCACAGCTAATGCTCTTGCACCCATTTCCGGGTCATGCCATCGAAAAAAATTGCACCTATCAACCCTCTGTTTTTTAACAATTTCTTATCATATTCCAATTGAAGTTCACGGAAAGTACTTACAGGATATAGAGGGCAACTCAAGAATCTTCTCCCGAGATTATCATCCTTCCAGCATGTAGTCAACTTTGCAACCAACTCACATCTACAAAATACCACACCATTTCCATCCATTTGATCGGATTTAGTCCCTAGGCGGTTAGGGTTTTTTTTTTTTACGTTTCACTGCAGTTCACTATTTCTGTCTTTTATTTTACTTTTTCAGCATTTAAATTTTCTTTTATTTTTCTTTGGTCAAAGTTGACATTAGTCAACAAATTTTAAAAAAATAAAGAACATAACGGTCGAGCAAAAATGGACCGTTAATTCAAATAAATTGAGGTAAAGGGACTATATTTTTTTTAAGGACTAAAATTGGGCATCAAAACATAATAGGGATTAAGTCTGGATACCCCTAAACATGGAGGACTAAAAGTGGATTTTTCCCAATTATAGGGACTATATTTTTTTGTTTTAAGGACTAAAATTGGGCACCAAAACATAATAGGGACTCAGTCTGGATACCCCCTAAACATGGAGGACCAAAAGTGGACCTTCCCCAATTTTAATTTGAGAAGTTGAGCATAGGGAAGGAGCGTGTGTTATTTATTAGTCATGCGTGAGTGCACCTGGCTAGTTAGGAAAAAAATAAATAAATGCAAGTATATATACTGTGTATTGCAACTGTGGTGGACCATCATAAATATAGGCAATAAAACATTGTAATATAGTACTATCATAAATTTTTGGGAAAAACGAATTCAATAATTTAATGGTGGTTGTTTCGTTTGAAGAAGATACAGGCCCACCTGGCCCATTCAATAGGCCTCGACATGAGGGTCCTGGAGATATTTACGTTTGGTTTACAATTTTCTTATTCTTTTTATAATTTTTTTGTGGCTGACAATTGAAAAGTGCATTTAATAATTAATACATTTATGGTTCTTAATTTTAAATTTCCTATTTGGTGCATACAATTTATTACTGTGTTCGAAAGAATGTTGCATAGATCTCCACTTTTACAATTGGTGCAACTATGTGGGCTATATATTTTTTTATATATCATGAGAAAACTGATATTATTCTATACAATATGTGAGATATTGTACTCGTACATCATGACATTATCGTTAATACTAATTATTTGAATGACAGATTTGACATCAAAATCAAAGTAAGCTTGCTAGCCAAATCATTAACATACATTTTTTTTTTTTTTTAAGAAAGCTATATATTTTTACAATATTAATATAAGTAATTACACATTTTATAATAATATGAATATGCGTCCGGCCTGGTAAACAATATATACTTTGTCTTGAAAGTAAAGTGACTCTAAATATGAGTCCAGGCCTTAATGATAAATAATAGTGCTAATGAAAATGGGGCTTTCACAAAAAGAAATAAAGAATTCGTATGAGTTATGAATTATGTATGTGGATACTTTCACATGAGAGTTTATTATACAATTTATACTACAATTTTATAATTTAAATTTGAAAAAATTTCATATTGATGTAATAAATGGTTCTAATGTCCCCGGTGTTAGGTGTAAAACCTTACGTAAAAAGGGAGGTATAATTATGATTTATGGGTAAAGTTTTACTGTCGAATCTTTGGCTACTGTATATATGTGATGGAGAGTTGAGTAAGGAATAAGATAGGTACTTTAGCAGGCAAGACAAAATGTATATTTTTGTTCAACACAGACATAATTTCATTTTGAGATAGGATCGAGATTGCTCATCAATCAGCTCAAAGCATAAAAATTGAGTATGAACTTTAATTATATGGTATACAGGGCATAAAAAAGGAACTGGTCATACAATATAAACGATTTTGTTACGGAGTCATCAGATGACTTGGCGTATGAAGCCATCCATATGGCTCCATAGAATTATCGACAATATAAATTGGTTTTGTTATGGAGTCATCGGATGGCTCGGCGTATGAAGTCATCCATATGGCTCCATAGAATTATCGACAATATAAATTGGGCAATTGCAAAGAGTCCATGCCATCAAGGGCAGATGTACACTTAAATGTACCTGGGTTGTAGCCCGAGAGAAATTTGACATATATTGTGTATTTTTATGCTAAATTGAAGCCAATTTATCTAGTAGCTCACTTCTTGTTTCACAGCCCGTATGTCCGAGCAATTAAAGAGAAAATTATATGTTGAACGATCATGTAACGTTTTTTTTGTAAATTTATTAGTTTTTTAATTTTATTTGCAAACATACGAAATATTTGATAGATAATTAGTTTTCATATTTAGTTACCGTAACAGTTCCACACTCTCTCTCTCTCTCTCTCTCTCTCCCAAACTTCCGGCCTCCCCGTTTCTCTTCTTTATTCTGGGAGCCATCTACAATTCTTTTGTCAATCAATCGTTGAGGACCACATCTACTCCCCACTCATCCAAATGCGAAAATCGAGCCCTTGGATCAGAACCTTGAATTCGTCCAGTGCCTTCTTCTCCAGATCGATTAACTCGTCGGCCTTGTTGGTTTCCTCCTTGAAGGGAGTAGATTCTGGTACAAATGCAAATAAAATCTCACCTCTGGTGCAAATACAATTACTTTAAAATCATGTGGTAAAGAGAAAATTCTCCATAAAATATTAAAAGTAAGACCAATAAGACAAATAAATAATACATCTTATTTTTGAATTACCATCTAATCAACTTTTGAAATTATTCAGTTGATGAGTGTAATAATTAAAAGATAAATGTTGTTTAACTACTTTTTTTTTCTTTTGGGAAAACTTTGTGAGAAATCTATTTCTTATAAATATATTGTAAAAAGAATGTTCACTTTTTATTAGTTTCTGTGTACATATTCTTTTGTTCGTATCTTATACATATCTTATGAGTTAGATTATAATTTTTTGATAATCTACAAATAGACATTTATATTGAATGTTAAAAATAAATTTATTTAATGCTATGTATTACCTATCATTACCAAATACACACTATAAGAAAATAATAAAATTTCAACAGAAAATTCCAACAAAAATATATTTCAGTGAAATTCGAACACGAATTCCAATGAACATTCCATTGGTATTATTTTCGTTGAAATTTTTTAATTTGTTCAAACGGCCGGATATTCAAACAAAAGTAATCCGTTGGAATAAACTTTTCATTAGAATTTCTGTTGCAATCGTTTCAACAAAAACTATATCATTGGAATATCCATTTAATATGCTACCGTGGAATTTTTCATTGAAATATGGCATTTTTTAGTGACGAGCTATTTTAACATAAAAACGTTATTTTAGGGATAATTTAATAAGTATTATTTCACGATATACATATTATTATTGAGTGAAATTTTGAGAATTTTAAAAATTTGAAACTTTTTAAGATTTTTATATTTAGGAGAAATCATATGAAATCTTAAGTCTGAATGTGAGATTTGAAGTAAAAAGTCTTAATAAATCATAATCTCAAATAAGTTAAATACCTCAAGATTTTGTAAGACCTTATAAAATTTCAAATGAATACATCAAGACTTTTAGGTAGTGATTGATAAGCCGTCATAACCAGTAAAAATCAATTTTCATTGGATCCTGAGTTAAAACGAATTATTTGGAATAAGTTGATTGAGTGGAATGAGAGAGATTATAATTAAATAATATTTAAAATGTAATGATTAACTTAATGTGATGTAAAATTAGGAGAGTGTTGATGAGAAGTGATAGAGTTAAAAAATATGTGAGTGGATGAATAATAGATCAAAGTTAACGTGATGTAGGAGAGATATGATTGATATTATTTAGTTAATTAGTAATATTGTAGATAATGATATTGAGTTAGATCTTGAGTTAAAATGAATGAAAAAAAAAATGATTGATTATGGTTGCTTACCAGTCACCCATTAAAAGTTATAAAAATTCTAAATTAAATCTATTAAGATCTTTTAAATCTTAAAAGCCTTTAAAATTTTCAAACGAATACACCCCTTAATTTATAAAATTAATCCTTTATCTTATTATATATAAGATATGGCTATAATGACACGTGATTGCATTACAGACTTTTTCCTTTAATATTTTTATACATTTATTCTACGGAACTTTTTATGTTTCTTTGGCCCATGGATTTCCAATTAAGGTTACGTCTAGATTTTTAATTAATATTATACTCTTATATTTTTATCAATACTTTTAAATTATCACTCAACTTTTGTACTTTTAATATTCTTTTATTGAGGTTTGTTTGTCCCATTTTTGTTGCGTTTTTCGTATTTATTTTGTTTTTCTTTTTATCCCATACTAGGTCTTTTTGTTAGTTTTTAATTTGTTTTGTAGTTTATTATGTGTTTTGCTCTATTTTGGGTTTTATGTGTTTTTCGTGTATTTTGTCAGTTTTCTACGTTTTTCTTCTTGTTTGATATGTGCAGGTCGAAAGCCCCGTGAGAAATTTATTTAGCCCGGAATCTGACCCGGCAAGCATGGTAGAGCAGAAGGGTTCGTTAGCTACATTTAAGAAGAAGCGGAACTCCATTTCGAGTTTAGACGAATCCGAACGGGACCGAAACGTAAAGTCCAGCAAGATGCCGACCATTTGAAGGTTGGAAAACTCTAGAGGATTGTACTATTGGCAAAATCTTGTCATGAAAGTATCAATGAATAGAGGGGTTCGTTAGCGACGCGTAGGAAAAAACGGAACCCAATTCCGAGTTTGGACGAGCCCCTGAAGCAAAATAGTGCAGTGCAGGAATCAGCCACCGCGACGCGGTGTAAGGGACCTTCGCGGCGCGGCGCAACTGTCCACCACGGCGTGAAGCATCCTTCGTGGCGCGGCACGGCCTTTCTCCGCGCCGTGGAGCCTTCGCGACCCCGACAGAGACTTCACAGGCCTCCCAGCTCCGCGCCGCGATGCCGTATCGCGCCGCGGTTCCAACGCCCTTCACGCTGCGGGATCTGCTCCTATATATATGTGCATCGGGACTCTTCAGAAATTAATTCTCCCATTCTGGGGATGAACCCTAGCCCATAAAAAACACGAAACTCCTTTCTCCTTCCCTTTTTCTTCTTCTTCTTCATAGTACTTAGGAATTAAGCTTGTAATTCAGATTCAACACTTGGAATTGCGATTTATTGTAAGTTCTTCTCTTTATTTTTAATTCATGAAAATGATTGAATTGAGAGAGATGATGGATTGTGTTGAATTGATTTTACTTAGCTAATTCTTATTGCTTGGGATAGGGGATGATTGTTCTTGCTTGATTCGTATTTTGTCGGGCTTGATTTGTTCATGCTTATGTGAGTTGATATAATTCGAAATTGATGAATTTGTGCTTGATTGATTGATATAATCGAAGAGTGACACTTCAATCTTGCGATTGGAAACGATTGAATGTTAATTTGTCGAGTTAGAGTTTGTAAATTCTATATGATTAGTTGATTAATCACCTTCTAGTTAATTAGCGACTTTTAGAACCGAAAGAGGAGAAGTGGTAGACATAGGCTCGTATGAGGTAGATGATTTCGTAATTGAATAGTCTATTGGTTTTGGATTGAAATACATGCTTGTCGATGACTCGTCCATTGTTACGAATAGTTATTGGGATTGGGGTAATTGGCCTGTGTCGTATGCTCAAGTTTGTTCGTCTATGTTCAATCCCTTGTTACGAAGAGTTATTGGGAGCGAACCGCTAGATGTTTAAGCGAGAGTGTCAATCTCGAACCGAACAATTAATTGCCCGGTTTTGCTAAGAACTTGAATAAATTATCCCCGATTCCCTAGCCTCCCCATCTTTGTTTCATTCTTTTATTCTTAGGTAGATTATTGTTTTTTCTTTCTTAGTTAATAATTATTCAAAAATCCTATTTAATTAGAGTGTTTAAGATTTTATTTTCTTTTTTGTGTGAAATCAATACCGAAGCTAAATTCCGAACCGCCTTCCTTGTGAGATCGACCCGGAGAACGAATCGTTCGATTCGATACTCGATAAAAAAAAAAATTTATGACACAACAAGGTTTAAGAATGTAAACCTAGTTTACATTTGTAAACTTTAAACCTCATCCTTTTAGTAGTAAAAAACATGTAACAGTGAGGTTTATAAATCTCACATAAACCCCTTGATAAAGATGCCTTAAAAGAATTCATATGGATATAATGACACGTGATTGCATTACAAACTTTTTTCCTTTAATATTTTTCTATATTTATCCTGCGGAACATGATTTTCTAGCCCATGGATTTTCAATGGCTGTTACTATTTAATACCCCTTATTACTAAGTATTGCCCTCCTTTGGACAATTTTACTACTGATATTTTTTCTAAAGAGTAAAAAAAAAATCTCTTGTCGGTCTGCCGGCGAAGCCGGCCGTAACCATGTACGACCGCAATTGCCGGTTGGCCGCACCGTGCACGGCCGGTTTTGCCGGTAGGCCGGATAATTTTTTTTTTTTTAAATAATCAAATTTTTATTTATTATATAAATTATGTTAGAATTTAGATATTATTATATTATAAATTAGAATTTCTTATCTTGTAGTTAGAATTTAAAAATTATTATATTATAAATGATAATTGATTATCTTATATAATTTTATTATTATTATGTTATATAACATAATACTAATTATCTGTAACAAAAATACTAATTATCTATAAGAAAAAATAATATAACATTTATAATTATTGTCTACTAACAAAAATATACATTAAATAATATAACNTTTTGGAAAATTGTCAGGGAACGGTCCAGAAGAGGTAGGTAGTAAAAGGGGTTGTTTAGCAATTCACATTTTCAATTAGGGCTGCATATGGGAAGCGGCTCTCACTTTGTTCATTTCGATTCCAACCATTTCTTCATGCGGTAAATTATTTATTTTTTGGCCTCATGTATTTTCAATTAGGGTACGAATGACATGCTACTTTGCCCTCCTCATTTTCTATTTCAATTGGTTGATGCGATGTCATTGTTCGCGCAAGAGAGTAGGGATTTATCATTATTTTTTGGTCATAATATTTATAATTTTGGTAACATATCTTTAGTAATATAAAAAAGTCAGTTGAGATATTCTTTTAGTAAGTTTGTCTAAATATAAATGAGTTGACTTTCTATTATTAAATTTTTTTATAAAATTACGTGCATTTTTTATTTAAAAAAAAATTGAGATTTGGATGAGAGCTACATTCATAATCGTATCCACATTTTTTTTGTAACAAAATCGGTTCATTTTTTATTTTTAAAGTCGAACCTTATCCAATTATTTAGAAAAAAAAAATCAAAAATTTTAAAATCTGTGCAACTTTTACAAGAAAAAAATGTGTGCAACTTTTCAAAATTTGAATGCATCGATTTTATTTTTATTCTTATATTTTTTTCTTAACCATGCTTTACCGAGATTTTGGTAAGTTCATGTAAATTTTTTTAGTTAAGTTTATATTAATTTTTTTAGGATAAAAACAGTTGCATAAATCTTAACAAATCATTCTGATTTTTTATTAGAATTAATTTTAATTCAATTCATTTGGTAAAAAAATGGGTGCAATGTTAGGAAAATTTAGTTGAATTTTTAAGAAATATTGATGATCCTTTTCACTTTGTTTTAACCAAATATTTGAATCAATTTGTTTGGTTAGAAAAAGGGTGTATTGGTAGGATATTCGGTTGCATTTTTTAGGAAAACACTAATGATTCTTTTCAAAAAATTTTAAACAAATTTTTGAATTAGTTTTTTTTTAAAAAAAAAATAAATAAAATGACATGAAAATTCATAAAAATATCTATTTTTTTCTGCTAGAATTTTAGTTAATAAATAAGATCCCTTACTTTTTTAAAAAAATGTAATATGTTAACTATAATAGGTAGTTTTAGATAAAATTGTATTAGATATTTGTTCAATAAATCAGATCATTAAAAAAAAAGAATTGCGTGAGCATCCCTTAATAATCTCTACTGGGTTATCACTCCATAGAGCACATTTATTTAGGGAGACCGGATTAAATAATTTTTATCTTGGTATCCAAGATTGGGGTGTAGAGATAATTTCATATTCACGTTTGTTATGTTTGATTACTCAAGATAGGATTATCTTCATAATATGTTTTATGTGTTTATTTCGTGGACAAATAATAGGATTAGATGCTCATTTACAAATTTGCCCAATTGTTCAAATACATTTTTTTTTTTCTTCATGTGTTTACTGGAATGAAAATAACCAATCAACCTCATTATTTCATCTTCCACACTTAAGTTGTACACAAATATTTGGATCAAAATTATCTACATAAAAACACCTCCTTCACGCTTTTCCCTCAGCATTATGTAGCTTCATTTTTTTTCATGTGAGATGAAAATTAACAATAACAAATCAAAACCTCATTCAATCCACAATTAAAATTTTGATGCTCCACGACGGCAAAATGAAATTCGAAGCAATAGCCCATCCACAACCAAATTTGAAGAACAAATCCAAGTTTTACTTGACCATATGAAAGTGGAAAGGCGGAATGAGTTTTGGGGTTTCTGAAACAAAGCAAACCAGAAGAACAAATCCGCTGCGGGGGCGGCGTTCTCTGATTATTTGTGGAAGAAAAAAAAAAGAAAAATTGTAGTTTGTTACTCACAATCTCAAAGCAAATGGCTGGATTATTTCAATTTTTTTTTTTTTCTTTCTTTCTTCTTGCGGTCGCCGTCTTCGGGAGTTGCAGGGATGTGTCCAATTCTGGGGACGAAATGGAAAGAGACAGGGACAATGATGTAATTTGACACAATAATCTAGCTTAGATCAATTTTATCTCACCCTTCCCCCCATGATCACTTTATCTTGCATATTCATGATTTCTTTGGATTTAATCTCGGGCCCCAAAATTACCTCGGGCTTTTATCATAGTAAACAAACATCAGATTAGGCCATGATAAATGGCTTTATCCTATCTTATCCTCCCAAACAAATGAGCTCATAATTGATAATCTCTATGGGGTTAATTCACTCCCGACTAATTCGTCATTTGTAGAAGTATCAATCTACAAGTTTGACTTAAAATTTGATTTGAATAATTCAAATAATAAAGAATCACATGATTTGTCCTTATGTTTTACTCTGTCAAATGTTCTGAGTTAATATCAATAAAAATCACCCAACAAATACATTTACAATTAATTTTTATTAGTAAAATTTCTACAGTATATAAATTTACATGCCAAATTTTTTGATATTATGGTTAAATATTTTCGAAAAAAATATTTTTTATCAATTCCATGAATAGAATCGTGTATATCCCACAAAGATGTTTGGTATAATCAATTATATTTATCTCTTTCAATTATGCTTATTTCTTTAAACAAACTTATCGCTATAATATGGTAAATCCATTATGTTTATCTCTTTCAATTATGTTTATAATATTAAATAAACCTTATCATTATAATATGGTAATATTTTAAAATTATTAGCAACTTCATTTGATACTGTGATTAAATGTTTCTTTATTTTTTAGATTAATTTATTATTTAAAACATTATGGGATAATAATTAATAAATCTAAGTAAATTTAGTTACACGTGTGAATCTGAACGAGAAAATCAAATACAAATCAACTACATTTCATTTGATAAGGAAACACCATGTGCAACTTTTTAAATTTGATCTAACCCTAAAATTGTAGATTCTTATTTCTTTTTCTTAAAAAATTTATAGAGATTTTGATGAGCTAATTTGAAAAAAATTGTTTGGAATAAAAATTGGTGCACATTTGATAGAGATGTTAAACTGGCTAGTCCTAGCAGTTTCAGGCTAGCTCCGGACCTAAAAAGCCCAGATTTAAACGGGCTACCAATAAAAGAACCTTATCCTAAACCTAGCGGGCTTCGGGCTATACGGGCTATAATAATAATAATAATAATAATAATAATAAATTACAACACATAGTTAATAGTTTTTTTCAACGACTATTTAGTATTTACCATTATATATATACAACTACACTTCATATATGAACACACATTACGAACTCTTAAATAACATATTGTTTCTCAATAGAAAAAATAAATGTTCGATTTATTACTTATAACTACCATTGACTAGTTATTTTGTATGCTTCGGGAATTTTCACAATATAGCATGCTGCTGAATTTATATTCTATCACTATATTCTATGTGTTAGGTCTTTGTCTCATTTGTGCTTTATTCACCGTTCTGATTGGCTTGAATATTTTGTGTGAAATAGAATAAAATTTGTTAATAATATCTATTAAAATAATAATAATACATTATAACTCATAATTATATGTGAAGTAAAATAATAAAATTGTAATATACAAGGAATCATGAGACATATTCCTTACCTTTCTAAAAACATATACACCACCCAACCCAAGTTAAACGGGCTAGCCCTAGCGGGCTTCAGGCTAAGCGGTCCGGGCCTAAAAAGCCCGGATTTAAACGGGCTGCCAATAAAAGGCCCTAACCCTGTTTTTTTTCGGGTTAAACGGGTCTGCCCTTCGGGCCAAGGACCATTTAATATCTTTAATATTTGATGTTTACACGATATCTTTTAAAAAATACGTGAGATTTTAATGTTTAAAACCGTAATATTTTAATGATAATATTCAATTCAATTTTTCTTTTTTTGTAACACTTTATTGCACATTTACAAAAAATCGTTTATTCTTTTACAATTCCGTAACAAATTATTGATATTTTAGTTGAAATTTCAGATAGAATGTTTTGGTATTAGTTCAATGAATAGAACGTGTATATCCCATAACATGCTTGATATTTTTGTTAAAAAATTTTAGATCGAATATTTTGGTATCAATTCCATGAATAGAACCGTGTATATCCTATAAATATGTTTGATAATAACTCTATTATATTTATATCCTTAAACAAATCTTATCATTATGATATGGTAAATCAATTAGTTTATATGTTTGAACAAAACTAATCATTATGATATAGTATTATTTCAAAATTATTGGCAACCCCATTTGATGCGTGTGATATAATTTTTTTTGGAGATTAATTTATTTTTCAAAATGTTTTTTCTTTACAAAATAATAATTAAAAAATCAGCAAATTCCTCTTAAATCCCTAAGTCCTCTTTTAAATTCATGTTCAGTCCCCTATCATTATTTATTTCCACTGCACTCCCCACCCCCTTATATTTGTTCCATTTTACTCCCCATATAAATACAAGTAATAAACTTATTCACTTTCTTTTTATTTGTTCCATTTTCTGAAATTCATGTTCAGTGCCAAACCCTCCGTCGTTCTTCGCCAATTTCGCGGCCAAACCCTCCGTCGTTCTTCGCCAATTTCGCGCCTCGTTCGCCACACGAGCAAAGCTCTGTCGCCGCCCGTTTGAAGCGACGAACTCTCCGTCCAAAAAAAACGAACCTCTACATCGTCGGCCGACTCCATCTCCGATCTTCTTCTCCGTCGAAGCCCGGCGCAACAATGGCATCTTCCTCTAAATCAAAAGCAGAATCCCCTCAGAATAAAGCTTCTTCCTCTAAATCGAAGGTAATGATTTGGAATTCATCTTCAATTAGGGATTTTTATAAATTAGGGTTTTTTTATAAATTAGGGATTTTTCATGAATTATATATTTTGACATGCATAATGGTACAAAGTTGGTATATTATCAATTGAACCACCCGCACACCAGAAAAGTCGAGCTATTGTTCATAATTTGTTCTCAATTTATGTCCATTAAATGTAGATGTTGTGTATGAATTTTTGGTATTTTCTGTGATCATTGTAAGTAAATTGAGTGGCTTCACATAAATGAAAGTTGATGCTGTGTATGAATTTGATGCTGTGCATGAATTTTTCCAATTTTTTGGTTCGAAATTGTTATGATTT